CCCTCTAAGACTATACGTTTCAGAGAAGATGCCAACCTGTGTTAGTGCAGGGAGTTTTCTCATCTAAGAGTTCTTTAGATGAATGAAATCACAGGCCCAGTCTCCTGTGAATCATAGTCTGTCACCAGCTATGATGGATGCATCTGATGAGACAATAGATTAGAGATCATAGTATCTTAGATTTAGGTCTCAAAGGACCTCAGGCCGCTTAATTCAACCCCACCTTGAATGAATGAATGAATGAATGAATGAATGAATGAATGAGAAACCTATAGCTTAGCAAGTGTAAGTGATTTGCCCAGCTGGATCCACACAACTACAACAGTATCTTAAGCTCAGGTCTTCCTGACTCCAAGTCTATCATTCTATCCATTGACCATGCTGTGTCTCAGATATTTTAGAGGAATGCTTCCCAATATTTAGCCTTAATTGAGAGCAAGTTCAAGTCCATTTAGCACAATCACTGCCACCTATCTTAAAGTAACTGAACTACAAAAGGATAAACATCCTAGGGTCTATGTTTGTGTAAAAGAAGGGTGGGGCTCCAGGCCCTCCCCTTCAGCCTCGGCTCCCACGTGGTCCTCTTCATCTTTTCTGAAGTGTGGAAATAGGGCTTCTGTGTATTTATGCTAAGAGGGCAGGACCTAAAAAGGGGCTATTGCAACTTGAAAATTGGATCTTGGCAGTCTTTGAAAATCTAAGGTTTCTCTCACAAGTGTCAGTATTTGAAATGTTAAGTCCTTTGAGACTCGGAGTTACCTTGGAGACATGAATGAAGCAGAGTTTTACTATTGCTGTAGTATTTTTTCATCCTGCCAGATGCTCTGTGCTCTTAAAAAATGTATAGTTTCTTTATTCTTATAGATTACAGATGTTCTGTTGGTACATAGCACAAGATATTTTGAGCACCTTTATTAGTCCCCAGTCATTGAGGGATGTTAACTACATGGTATAGAATCAATAGGTTGCCTATAGCTCTACCTTGTAAGACTTCATAAACTATTCAGTATCATCACTGGCCAAAATACGGATGAGAAATCACCCATGAAATGCCAAAGGAAGTGATATAGATGAATAGAAATCTTCTGAGGAAATGTTTTTTCTAGAGCTTATTCAAATCCACTGCCCATGCTACAGCTTCAGCTCAGATACATAGTAGTCTTCTGATCACCCAGTTGTCTCAAACTTGGCAGCTTGGTATAGTAGAAGGGGACAGTGGAGGTTGACGTGGATGTACTGGATTTAGACCTGATTCTCCTCCTACCTGTCTGATCACTCCTACTTAGTAGATCTTTGCTGGATCTTCATCTGGGTCATGCTTGTTAACCATGGGTGTTTCCCAACATTCTGTCCCGAGCCCTTTTCTCTTCTTCTATAATGTTTTACTTGGTAGCCTCATCAGTCCCCATGGTTTCAATTATCATCTCAATGCAAATGATATTCAAGATTTATTTGTCTGGTCTTAATTTTTCTCTTAACTCCTTGTCTTGCAACTCCAACTGTTCATTGGACATTTCAAACTGGATTCTTACAGACATCTTAAATTCATCATGTCCAAAACTAGCTCATTATCTTTACCCTAAAACCCTCCCCCCTTCAAACTTCCCTATTATCATCGAAGGTAGGATACAGTTGGCCCTCATCACCTCATGGTCTGACTATTGCAACAGCCCTTGTGGTTGGTATTTCTGCTTCAAGTCTCTTCCACATTCCAGTCTATCTTCTACTCAGCTGACAAATTGATCTTTCTAAAGCACAAGAATGGCCATGTCACCTCCTATTCAGTCAACCCTATTATCTCCAGGGTCAACTATAAAGTCCTCTGTTTGACTTTTAAAGCCTTCTGTAACCTACATTCTACCTACCTTTCCAGTTTTCTTACTACTTACCCCTACCGTGTACTCTGTGATCCAGACACTGGCCTTCTTTCTGGTCTTCAAAACAGACATTCCATCTCCTCACTCCAGGCATTTTCGCTGGCTGTCCTGCATGCCTGGAACTTAACTCTATCTAGTCTAGAATTCTCTTGTTCCTCATTTCCACCTTCTGGCTTCCTTCAAATCCCGTCAAAAATCCCACCTTCTGCCAGACACCTTTCCTGATTCCCCTATAATTATTTGTTGGTCATCTCTAATTTATCTTGTATGTATTTTGTTTTCATGTTGTATCCCCCATTATACTGTGAACTTGATGCAGGGACTGTCTTTTACCTTTTCTTTGTATCTATAGCACTTAGCATAGTGCCTGGCACATAGTAGGTGCTCCATAAATATTTACTGACTAACTACAAGCTCTAGCTTTTTAATTTACTACCCAATCAGAGAGGTAGGGTGGTTTAGTGGAAAGAGTACTGGCTTCAGAGTCAGAGGATTTGGATTCAAATCTTGACTATGATGCTCATTTACCTCTGCGACTTTCAGCAAATCACTCAGTCTCAATAGGCCTCTTTTTTCATGTTTATAAAATGAGTGAGGTGGTCTAGTTAAGTTCTGATTTCCCTCTAGCTTCTGTACTGATGATTCTTTGAGAACTTCACCTGTAAGTCAGAGCTTTGGGCAGCTCTCTTGTAGCTTCATCCATCTCTTCTTGGTTCCCTATTAG